TGTCCTTGCTTTTAAAGATGTCAAAGATCCATAGTGATTGCAGTATGCCTCCCTAACTGACAGTCTGCCACTTCTACATGGGTGAGATCTACATCATTCTCCAAAAGCCATACCTTCCTCCCAGGTGAGTTCCTAGTATCCTGAAGGATATACAGCTTAAGAACTCCTAAAGTGAAATCCTGGTCCCACTGAAATCAATGGAATTCACGTTAAAAAGGTCACTGATATAAATTTGTTTCCAACCTGTTTTTTATTCTGTTTCTGGGATCCTGCAACTCTGAAATTAAAACAATTAGCTTACTCCTTTGGAGCAAAGGAAAGCTAAATTGTTTTCTTGACGACAAACCCAATCTAAGTTTGCGCTCCTGAACTCTTACAAACTGTCTTCAGGGCAGCACTGACAAAGTGGAGTAGTAAATTGTGTACCAAAGGAAAATAGTTCTCTCAAACATCAGCTTTTCATATAACTTTCATTAAGGTACCATCAATTTTGCTTACACACACACTTAAAGCACCATAAAACATCCTTCTCAGATTTTGGCAAAGTATGAAACAAAGACAATGAATAAAAACTCCAACTTACTTGGGAATTTGTTCTCTTCAACCAGACTCAGAGCAAGGAAACTGATTTAATTAAGTCTAGGTCAGGTCATTTTAACTAACAAGGTTCAGCTGTTATCTGTTTTTCCTAGCTGTTCCCCATCTTCAACTGAGGAAGAATCTTTGCTCTGATCTGTGGGGACCTGTCTTATGTCTTACCTTCTGCTACGTCCGACAGTATCTAACTAATGTACTACCTTGATGGTATTTTTATTTAGATACTATAGCTTGGAAATGTAGAAAAGATGAAATTTAAAAATGCAGTTGGCTCTGACAGTTGATGTCCTTCAGCCCCACAAGTTCCTTAATTGGTTAGACTACAGACTGTTAGAAAAAAAACCCAGAAACTGTTTCTTGCCTCAGAAATCAAGGGAAGGATGGGGGTTGGTCAATTGTAGGTAATTCCTAAAAGAGTAGCTCTATGCAATAGACAGGCCAGAAATACCTCCAACCCCAAAAGTTCCAAGGAAAAGTTGGATTTCTCTATTTTAAAAATTTCTTTTACTTTCCTAACTCTTCTTAGTATTCTCTTTAAAATTTGACAATAGATATACTGGACAGAAGGCTTATTCTTTCTCAGCACTTGATCATTCTGTCTTCCACGTCTGTGGTTGCTGTGTTCCACTTTCTTTGGAGGAACTTCTGTGTGTCCTTGGCATTGATCACTCTTGAGCACACCCAGCCCACCTACTCTCCCACTTGCACATACCACCCAGCGGTGAAGCCACTCAGGCGGTGCTGAGCTCCAGTGTACTTGAAAGCACCCATGGGGAATGCCCCTGGAGTAGCTGCTGCATTTCAAAGTATAGTTTGTGCAGGTGGTATCACTGAGGATGCAGACAGACATGCCTGGAATTGTTTATGGCCATCTTGCAAACCCCACTATGTTCTGAGGGGGTTGTGGGATGCCATGCATGCTTTCCTGAGTTTGTTTTACTGGTATGGTGTGTGTATGTGTGTAGTCTCTACAGCTCAGAAAAGGTTTAGGAGCAGGCTAGATGGACAGGGATGATCCTGGTTTGAGTAGGAGGCTGGACTGTGCGTGAACTTGTGAGATTCCTTCTAGCCCTACTTTCCTGTGATCCTGTAAAACTGGCCATGACTGTTTTGACAGTTGTTTTGGATTACTAGTACCCATGTCCATTTGCACATACATGATACTACTCGACAGACTGTTGTCTACTTGAGAAGATGTTCTGAAGATCGGGCGGGAGACTGGACTCGATCTTCCGAGGTCCCTTCCAGCCCTAATGTCTATGAAATCCCTGTTCCAAACCAGAAAACTGAGACACACCAACTTATTTTCATTTTTAAATGAAAATGAATCTCTGATCTCCAGCTGTTTATTTTTGCAGGTGACAATTCTAGATGCACTGTTACTCACTCTCGCTAAAGCAGTCTGGACTGTTCTTACCTAGAGCTCATCTGGGCAAATCATCCTCCTGTATGAGGTCACGCTGTGGGTTTTCTTCCTGTCCACTGTAACAAATTCCAGTTTCATTCTAAATTTCAAAGGTCATCTTAGACTTCTGACACTGATCTCTATCTACTATTCTCTCTCTCCCCCACTCCTTCCCTAAACCCCAAATTTTTATTCTTCACTGGCTTAGTTTCACACATTGGATGTGGTTAGAGCATTGTGTCCTTTTTAACTTAGCAAAAGCTACATCAAGACTATTTACATTTACAGAATAGGTAATTCCTAAACCTCTCATCTAAATGGGTTTCAGATTGCATGCCTGCCTGCCTGCCCGCCATATACTTTTCTAAGGAAGATGCCCCTGCAGACATCAGGTATCTGATGTAATCCCAGAAGGATTCTGCTGCCTCATTGAACAACTGAGATTTGCAGGATGGCAACACAGACTTCAGTCTATACCTTTACTATCTAATATGCCTTGATATGCGTCTTTAAGATTAGATGCAAACTTGGATACAATTGTCCATGAACTAATGTTTAATTAGGACATCCAGCAGAAATAGGAAGGACCAAAAAAAATCAGAAGCAAAGTAGTAAAAGAAAAAAAGGGTAAGAAATTATGCAAGAGCTAAATACATTTTCTATAGCCAATCTGTAGCGTATTAAAGACTTTTATATAAATTATAAAATCACTACACTTGCAACAGTTTTTTCCTGTGGTCTTCAAGTAGCAAGATACATGAAGAGGAGCCAAAGGTAATGTAAAAAAATTTTTAAAATAAAATAAAATAAAATGAACGTGTTAAACTTCATTTTTTAAATGCAAAGTATTACTTAAAAGCACCTCTGGGAATATGGTGCATAGCTTCTTCTGCTTCTCTAATTTAACATTTGTATCTGATCAGTGGAAGAGAGAAAGCACTACAGACTCAGATATCAGCAATGTTACTGACACCCAGCACTATACCAAGTAGCAGAGATATGATCTGTATGGAGACTGGAACCTGGGAATGTTTTATGACATTTGAGTGATCTGTTCAACACTATACAGAAATTACGTACAAATCTGTTCACATGTGCATGCAAGCATGCGCACACTCTAAATAAAATGGGGACTACCGCCTAATTCCTAGAGATGCTTTTGGGCCGTAACCCAAATTTAAGCATAAATATTATTAAAAGACATCCCAGGATCTTCCACCATTGCCTTCATTATCCAGGTAAAATTTTAGCATTTGTAGCAGAACTTAATCACAAAGGGTCATGATCCTGATTTGGGCTTCTCTTCACTACAGTGCGGTACAATGTATTTCTACCAGGATCTCAATGCATACCATACTATTGGCAGAATTCTTGATGAGGAAAAAAAAGGAGATTGGCATTTTGCAGCATTCATTTGAGTTTCCAACTACACAAATACATAATGAAAACTTCCATAGACAGATGCAAATACTAGTACCTTCAAACTCTTTCAACCGAACAAATGCTTAACAGCAACATTTTCAAAGTGGTGGCTAAGTTCAAACATTACACAAAAATAGCCCAGGTACATAAATGGGGGAGGGGGAGGACTTGCCATGTAAATAAGGATGAAGGTAACAACTCCAAGTACAGCATATGTTTAATAAGTATTTTTGATTTGGCATCTTCCATCTGTAAATCTTGAAGGACTTTGGATACACTGATGAACAGTACCTCTCAACAGTTCTATGAGGTACAGAAGCATTAGCCCTATTTTACAGATAGCAAGATCGAGATTATAAAACTTTAAAGAAAAAAAAAAAAATCAAATCACACTAAGTCTGTAGCTGAGCCAAGAATAGAACCACATATCATTTCTCTGCCATGTGAACACAAGCTGAGAAGATTAGCAGCACTTATGATAAATAGTAGAGAAAGTCTGCTGAAATTCAGTACTGCATTCTAGTCACCTAGAATGGTGTCAAAATGCATTTAAAATGTTGAAAGCTTTTATAAAACTACGATTTTTATTCCTTATTTAAAACATCAAGCATATTGCTATTCAAGAAATGTAGAGATCTGCACTTAAGTATTTTCTCTTAAGACAAATTTAGAAAAACTTCAGAGAATATTGCTACATTAATCTTAGCAGCATATTTGAATATCAGCTACCTTAAAATTTGGTGAGATCTGCAAAAGTTATGATTCTTCTTTAGATAAGCCTTTTGAAAGATATCTAGCCTTTAATTTTATTTTATTTTGCATGTACAGTACTGTTGTTCTATGGATTTAGGAACATTTTGTACACAAATATATTCTAACAGCATATGTGATAAAAAGTAGTCTTATATACTCATTTTACAACAGATGAATAACACTGAGGAACTTATCCCTATCGTATCTAAAAGTAAGATTCCTGACTCCTAGCCCTATACCGTCTACTAAATAGACTTAGATCTTTCGTAATAAAAACAAAGTGATAATTTGTAATTAATGCATATACCAAGGTTAGATAAAAATCTTACCATAAAGAACATTACAGAAGAAAATAATCCTATTTTATACATGAAAATGGAGGCTTTCAGGACAAACAGATTATGGACATTGAACAGCTGCCCTTCAATACTGCTAGTTCCTCAACATTATAGTACATCATAGAAAATAAAAAACTGATGACAGGGTATTGTTACTTACATATAGCTTGTAGTATATTTTATAGTGAATACAGTTTTTAAACTGCTGAAAGTCTAAATGAGTGAAATGAAACTCTAAATGAGTGAATGCTAGATGAAAATCTAAATAGTCAATGAGTGATTTTTGCATTTCATTAACAGATTTCTCAAAGTAAAGCCCATGTATCGAAATTATTTTCTAATGAACAAATAAAATATTTTAAAAGGACAAGTTCTCATTTTAAAGCTCCAACCATTTCTTACTGGGTTAGTTTGTGTGTAAAATATGCCAGACAAACAAGAATATAGTCAGCAAGTTAAAATAAATTATCTTAATAAGATCTTACCTTTGAGCCATCCAAGCTGATTATCCTATAGACATTCCTTGTGCTGTCATAGAAATAGGACACAGTAACAGCATGCTTGCTGGTGGGAACCCAGTTCTTCTTAGTGTTTGGGTCAATCTGGAAGACATGAGCTCGGGTGCTGAAGATGGGCTGTTCCCTGAAGGGTAAAAAATAAAAGTGATGTATCTGATTTGGATGCAGTACGGTTGTACGCAAGTGATCTGGTGATTCTGCCCATTGGGATGTACACACTTCGTTTTGCATGAATAATTTTCCCCACAAACTTTTAATGTAATTGCACAGAGCAGTTAACGGCATTAATATACCCAGGCAAGCACAGCTCAAGCCTTCTAAAACAAACAAACAAACAAAAAAAAAAAAAATCAGTGACCAGCTGTAGAGTCAGATGAGAGAAAGACATATCTATATTTAGATTCATCACTGATCCATCACCTCCCCAGCCTCCACCCTCCATCTGTCTACCCCCTTAACACTGTCTGTCATTAATATAAGTGCAGTTTTATCTGATTATATTGTGCAGCCGTGTATATATTACTTCAAATCCTCCTTTTCCTTAAACTTTTTAATACTCTGATTACTCAGTCCTGATCCATAATCTGGAACTGAACTGGTCTGCTCAATTTAATTAAGCAACAGCTGATACTCATTAGCGACAGGAACACATTGTGAAATGCTTATTCTATGGACCTCCACATTTGAACATTTTCACAAAATCTTGTATGTTATAGAGACACATGCTTTAAAAAAAATCTAGGTCATAACTTGCTTATCCAAGAAATTAGATTTGATAAAATCTTCTAATATACTTGAAATGTTAAAGCTTTACTTTCCCCATGACTTATCACAATGTATAATACAGTACAAAAATCTAAAACTACTTAAGCATTATTAAGTCTAACAAAATTAGTGGCCTCTAAGGTTGTTTATTCATAAAAGAGCCACTTTCTTCCCAAAATGTTAACAACTTAAATAATCAAATCATAGAAATTAATACCTTTGTCCCTGAAACATGGAAGATTTGTAATCAGCTGTTTTGAACTGAAAGCTTCATAATTTTACAAGGAAGCAAAATTTAACACTTTGAGACCTGGAAGTTAACTCCCCTGCTGCAGCCTTTTGTTTTGAACCAAATTTGCATACCTGCAGAACAACCTCAACACAAGAGAAATTTCTTGCCCAGGAGAACCTTCCATCACCAATCCTCCTGTGAAATATGTAACGTCATAACAAGAAAGAAGCATAATTCAACATCCTGCTTGCCATCAGACACCTTTGAGGTAAATAGACTGCACCAACTTATCCGAGCCTAGTTTGCATAAAATGAAAAATGAACTTTTCCAGCCAGGAGATATTACTTCCTGTGAAATATGAATTTTCATTTCTACCTGGGAGAAATTTTACAATCTTTGCATTCTCCTACACCTGAGGAAAGGTGTGTGTGCGCCTGAAAGCTTGCAAATAAACAAAAAAAAAAATGTTTTTACGACTGTCTAGTTGGTCTAATAAAAAAAGATATCACCTCTAGCACACTGACTACCACCTTTACTACAGAGTCAAGTTCATAAATTCTCTGAGCTAAATTATACTCTCCCATTTATGGAATCTGAGGAAACGTATCCATCTAGTTGAACTCGAAAGGAATGAGTCACTGCTCTCTGAGAACGTCTTTACTTCCCCAGATACCTGCGGAAGTTCCTCTGCTGGAATTCCACCTGTGGCACATTGGATGACACTTTGTTAAAACTGCTAGAGTTAACTATGACCTGTTATTCAAAAGCTAGTGGTAAAAAAGTATTAAGGACACATTTTTCCCCCAAACAAAGTCAAATGCAAGACTTCAGAAGCTAGAACTCTGAGGGGAGGTGTTTTGGTTTTGCATTGTCTGGGAAATGGTATGTATAAGGGTGAATGAGAGCAAGTTCAGGTGTAGGAGACAGCATGTAGACTCAGAAAAAAAAAGACAGAGACAGAATGGCTAGGGACAGAAGTTGCACATAAACCAGTTTAAGTGATCAGAAACTGGTTTAAGATAAACCTGGCTGAATGTAGCATTAGACTTAGCCGATTTAGGTCAAACCAGTTTATGAAAAACTTATGTCCCAGACCCCTTCCTGGTTCAAGTTAAATCACAGTCCCCTGGCATCCCAACATGCTTTCCAGCCCTGGGCTAGGCTGTGCTGTCTGCTCCATGGAGGAGGGCTGGCCCCATCTCTCTGGTCCCTAGCTTGAGCAGTGAGGGTTGGCTCACTGGCTGGCTCACTAATCCCCACAGGCAAACCCCAGATGGGGCCTGGGGCCAGGGATGGGGTTTAAACTTCCCTTCCCCTGAATATAGAGCTGCCCTGCCCACTGTGCGTTGTGACTGTTTACTACAAATCCCAGAGGAACCTGGAAGCAGAAAGAGGAAGTGACAAGCGACCCTGCAGAGTCTTGCTGCTGGGATTGTAGACTGCAAATCCCAGAGACTTTGGGGGCAGCAGGTAGAGGAAATGAACACATAGCCTGTGCTGACTATATGCCAGAAAGCCATGGTCTATCACTCCTGGCTTCTGGCTTGAGCCACTGCAGGCATGCGGCTGCATTTTCTGAATCAAAAGGGAATGTCTGTTCATTTGCTTATTGATTCATTCTTTGCCGCTTAGACTAACCTGCAAAGATTGAATCAATTCAGCCTCAGGCTTTTTGGCTGTCTGTACTTAGCCAAAGAGACTTCAGCATAGCTTCAATGGCAGTGATGTACAGCCCTGGAAAAAACCTAGGGCTTCCAGGTAACAGCACTGGCTGAAAACAAAACAAAACAAAACTTATAGCAGTGAGCAAGGAAACTCTCTAGTTGTCAAATGCCTCCTACGCTGAAGAAAGAAGTTCTTTATATATTTGAGTCAAGGGCAAAAATACATATTTTACTCCATGATTAAATTTCTACTCCTAAGATAACCAACCAAATTTTAATTAGCCATTCAGATCCAACAGAGTAGAATCCCAGAACTTTATCCAGCATTATTTGAGCCTAGTAAGGGATAAAAATAGAGCTCAACTTTGGATTAGGGGTTAATGCTGCTTGAAGCCCACTTCACCCCTAGGTATTTCTTCATACACATCCAATGTGGGTTAAGGGAAGCAGGAACAGATGACAATGAAAAAGCTAAGAACAGCAGAGTTCCAATAAAAAAAAAAGAAAAAGGTGAAGGTGAGCCAGGAGATCTGAACAGAGTACCAGTCTCCCACAGAAAAGCCTCTATATTCACAGCTGTAAGTTATGCCAATGATTCTGAACCTCTTCAGTCAAGGTGCCCCTCCTCCATTTTTTTTTTTTTTTTAAATGTGGTAGCATCCCAGGTTAAGAACTACTATTGGTGCTTTACCTCAACTTCACAATACTTTTCAAGTCAGGTGCTGCTACCCCCAGGTAAAAACTGCACCAGGCACCTGGTGTATAGGAAGCCTAGGCGTATGTACACACTCCCCCTGAATTAGGGGTCTCTCAGAACCCTAAAGTAGGACAGAAGATAGCTTCTGCTGTAGCCTTTCTGGTCTGGCTCCCCACACTGCTTCTGGAAGCAGAGGTATGCAGATGGAGCCATCCCATCTGCATGTTTCCAGGAGGAGTGCTGGCCAGACCAGGATGGACTGCAGCCTGAGCCAGCTCCTCAATCCTGGTTTAAGGGTATCAGAGACCCCTCATGCAGGAGAACTGGGCACAGACCATAGCCCTGCTATGGTGGCAGCCAGGTAACACCTGCATTTCATGACACCCAGCTAAGAACTACTTGCCCTTCCTGGGGTTTGGGAGGCCTCTTTCCCCGCCCTCTCTACATCAAACATGGATATTAAATAGATCAGCTACATTATTCTCATCACCTGCAATGCCCACATCACATCCTCTGCAAATCTCGACTTGTTCCTCTTTAGCACACCACATTTGAGCTTCCTGCCCTTGTCTTCAATATTACATACAGATTTACACTGTTTACATCTTTATTACACACATCCTCATAAAAAGGAAATATTTCCATTTGGTCTATGAGCATTAGGTTTTGAACACTGGAGACAACTATGTACTTATGCTATGTAGTAAATAACTTTTACTAATCTATTTGGGGAAAAGAAACATGTTTTCACTGGGTGGAGGGATGGAGGGAAAAAAAACTTGAGTAAATTAACTAAAATGACACCAGGTGAGCTGAATTCAGCTTTAACTGTATTGATACCCAACGCAGACGCACTAAACCAAATACTGTTCAGAACTAGAACGGACTAGGATTCAAAGCAGAATGAAGGACACTTAGCAACTTGCAGGAAGCTTTCAACATAGTATGTATGAGGACCTTAATATGTATAATGTAATTATTTACAGAGTGGTACAGTGCTTATCAAGTTTCCCTTCTTTATCTCTTTGCTTTAAATGTTTTCTGTAACCTAGATGTCAGAGATGTTTGTTTCATGGTGTATGTTGAAGCTGTATGTTTACTGTCAGAGAGAAGAGGGAAACCTAACGCAACTACAAAAATAACATCAATCCAGGCAAAGTGACAGTACTCAAACTTAATATCAAACACCATAGTTCTATTTAGTTAAAGCAGTTATGAACTATGATTTTGCCTATGTACCATAATGGACTGAGAGGTTTTCTAGAAGCAATCTTAAATTATATACACCTCAAAATATATAGTAAATACAACAGATGTATATAGGTATAAACATTTACTTCCCGAAACAAATCAAAATACGCAAAGGTTTTTTTTGTTACTGTTTAGTCCCAGCATGGCATCAATGTTAATAGACCATAATGTTTAGAAATACAGTAGTCAATCCAGATTCAAAGGTTTATGCTTCTTTTAATACTTGGAATTAATAAGTACCCAAAACAGACTTCTTTTTTCTTTTTCTTTTTTTTTTTTAATTATGTTACCCATCATTTATAGGAAAGATATTGATGGCAGCGCCAGCATTCACTGACAGGTGGGTTAGTACCATTGATTCTTAACCTGAAACTGCTTACAGATGTTAAAAAAACAAACAAAAAACAACCCCCTCCCCCAACCCCCATGCTTTACTGGAAGCAGCAGCATGTTAATTTGACCTGGGTCCACAGCATCTGTATAGATCAGATGCTTCAGCAGGGCTTTTTGGCAC